GCCGCCTTGACGACGCCCTTNACCCCGGGGGCCCGACGCGCGCACCCCGTCCTTCGGGTCCTACCACCCTTCACCTCCCGTCGTCGCCGACTTGGGTCGCCGACTGCTGCCCAGCACCTGCGCCACCCGCAACAGCCCCCGCCGCCTGTCAGCCCAGCCTCCGCGCACGCCCCTGCTACACTGCACGACCACTAACTTGACAGAGTCGCCCAGCAAGCAACAGCCCCGCCTCACTGGGCAGGCCCCGCTTCCAAACTACGCATGTAGGCCTCCTGACACTGCAAACACCCAGGCAGGAACAAGTGTGGCCCACTCACGTTGCGGTCAGCCCGGCGCACGGTGAGGACGGGGGACGTTTCGGTCAGGCCGTAGCCGTTGAGCAACACGATGCCAATCATCTCGAAGAAGCGGTCCACGTGGGTCGGGAGGCTGCCCCCGCCGCTGATGGCCGTCTGCAGCACGAGGCGAGCACGTGTGAGGCACTGGGAGAGTAGCAGAGGGGAGCAGGGGCAGCAGACCGGCTGCAACTATGCTATCCTGCCTGCCCGTTCTGCGCTCTGAAAGATTTTCAAGAAAGTTCGAAACGGCCACCATGCATATGGGGCTTGCTCGAAACAAACTCATCATTGAAGTCTTGCTTCGTGCAAGCCCACAGTTATCCATGTAATCCACGTTTGCTTCGTCCAAGCCCACAGTTTACAATGTCAGAGCTAACAGCCTGGGCGCATCATCAACCACCTCGATGCATCATCCGAAGTCCACTCAATCTAGGTAAACTGCCGGACTGCAGGCAAGGGAAGGTTGCTCTCGAGGTCCAATCGTGTTCACAACAAGCCAAAGTATCTCCAAGGCCTAACCTGCTTCCCGTAAGTCATTGCTCTCACAATGTGTCTACAATGCGGCTTTTCTGCATGGCGCACATGCTCACCTTTTTGATGCCCAGCGCCGCGCGCACCTTCCCATACACGAGGCGCGAGGCGAGCAGGTGTGCGGGCAGCAGCAGCGCCGCCACCACGCCCGCTAGCACCCATTGCGCAAACGACAGCACCGGGTGGGCACTGCTGCGCACACTGTCCAGGGCGAGGCCCTGCCACGAAGCAGGAAGGGGGGCACAAGGTGAGGCGAGGCGCCCGTGCACGAAACAAAGGGCTCATAGGATTGAAATGGACGCAGCACAGATGCCCCGCCGAACGACATAGATGAAGGGCGGCCGATACAGCGAGCAAACCCGGAAGCATGGTAGTACTGGCTTGATGAGCACCAGCGATGCGGGCGCGCTCACCCTCCAGGCCCTGAGTGCTTCCATGTACTTTTGGCTGGCGCCTATGAGGAGCTTGGCCACCTTTTGGCGGGGGGCTGGGGCCTGGGCCAGCTTGCGCTGCACCCCGTTGTACAGCACCTCGAATACCAGGGGCACCGCCACAAAGTGGTCCGGCGGGTGGGTCACCAAATCATCCTGCACCCGTGCCCACACACGCTCCGCTCAGCACCGCAGCCAGGGCAGATGCGATCCACGGAACCAACTAGCAACAGTGCCGGATGCAGCGTCAATCATTCGGCCTGGAGGACCTGGGGCGCACCTTGAAGGTCTTGACGCTGCTGTAGACCTGGCGGGCCCCGGATGCGAGGCAGAAGTACTCGGCAGAGCGCTCGTACATGTGCCAGGGCGGCAGCAGGCTGAGCAAGACCTCGCCTGGCTGCACGTCCAGCACCACGCGGTAATTGCGCACCTGCACCCACACAGCGCGCCGCGAATCAGCAAAGGCCAGCTCGCATCGTTTGATCGGATCGAAGGCATCAAGGACAACAGCAGGGGCAGGTAGTGCAAGTGATGGGGTCATGGAGCAGGGCTGACCTGGTGCAGCAGGTTGTCGTGGGTGAGCATGACCCCCTTGGGGAAGCCGGTGGTGCCGCTTGTGTAAGCGATGGTAGCCACATCCTGGCTCGCACACGGCACCTCGCGCCGCAGAGCGCCTGCACAGCGGGTAAGACCAACTGCTGTCAGTAATCTGATCTTGTCTCTGGCTGAACGAAGGCCCCTCCTGCCAGAGCACTCGTTTGAGACACACTCATACTTCATGCCTGCTCCTTTTGACTTTCATTCTAGTTAAGGGGGTAGCAGGGCACTCACCATTTCCAGTTGCGGCCTCTGTCGCCTGGCGGCTAGTCTTGCCTGCCTGCAGGAAGCTGGCAAAGCTGTGCGCGGGGAAGGGCGTCGTGGCGGCCCCGTTGGTCGCCGCCTCCCCCCACAACACCACCGCAAACTTAATGCGGTCCGCCAGCTCACCCAGCACAGGCGCCAGCTTGGCCAGCACCTCCGGCGTCTCTACCACTACCGCAGTGCTGCGCACAAATAACAGGGCAGGCGTACCTCAGGCCAGGTCACGGGCATGGGCAGGAGGCTGGCTCACAGCTCACACCGAGTGGCATCAGACAAACCCTGTGCAACACTAACCAGTGCTCATCTCTGTCAGTCTGTCGTCCTCTGTCTGGTTAGTCCTACTTTTCCAGCATCTGAGATCCCAGCTTGAACCTTGCACTTGAACCAGTCGGCAGGTTGGGCTTGATTGATTGGACCTTCGCCTTCACCTTTGCACCTGTCTACGTTGCCCCATTTGAGGGTCACCAAATGAATAATGCAATAAAGACAATGAAACCAGATCTGGGCCACACTCTAGCATGACCGAGGAAGAAAGTGCAGCGATGTTGAGGAGACAAGCACTTGGTACCTTTATTGGCTCCACAGCAAGGCCCACCCAGTTGAAACACCCAGTACTTGGAGTCTTTTACACACATCCAATACATCGATCGCACAGCATTGTCCGTTTCTAAAGGCAAGTGCTTCTTGGACCCACCGGTCTGATCGATCTCGACCGAGCAAAAACCCTAATTCCGCAAAATGGCGTCCAATGACCCCGTGTTTCTACACGACGTCAGCTCCTTACCACATTGGACGGCCCGCACAATTTGACTTTGTAATCGGCATGATCGCTAGCTACAGCTAATGGTTGGGGCAGATGTGCTCAGACAACCAAAAAGGAGGGGGTTTGTTCACCTCTCTGAATGCTCCAAAATATACTTGAGCTCTTCCGCTGGCGCCTTGGCCCCCCTCACTGCATCGACCGCCCCCGCCATCATGATTCCTGCAACCACCATTGAATGCTGTAAGCCCCATGATTGATGCTGGCAGATTGGAGCATATCAAAGTCTATCTGGGCCCCAATTCTATCGAACCACGCACGCTTCACACCAGGCCCAAGCAAGCTGCCTCCCAAATGCTTCGAGTAGCTGCCAGAAGCAGGCAAGGCACACAGAACAGCTGCTTACCTTGGTCTGCAATGATCCAGCGGTGGGAATTATCTGAGAAGAGGCCCACCCGGTCGCCCGCCTTGATGCCGTACAGGCGCAGCCCCTCGCTGAAGTCCACAATGGCTTGCTCCAGCTGGAAAAGCAGGGAAACAAGCTGAGGATGAGGGGCAACTGCAGTGCTTCAGAAAGGCTGGTCAGACGCGCTTCTTCAGCTCCTGCAGTGGATCTTCTAGACCACCAGGTTGTGTTGCAGGAAGAACAATGAGCTCAAGCGCCAACACCAAGATGCAAAGCTTCTGCTCCTTATTGATGTACCCAGCCCCGGTTGCCCAGCTTACCTCCTTGTAGGTCATCTTGATGTGCGGCTTCCTATGGGGGTCATCTAGCGCCACCCGATCGCCATACTTCTGGGCGAGCGTGTGCCACATGGCAGGCAGAACCTCCCAATTGGGGGCCACAGTGGAGCTGGGAGGGGGTGGCACAACAGAAGGGGCTCGTACCACCCGTGCCGGCTGCACCAACAGGACGTCTCAATGACAAGAACCAACAGTACCAGAAGTCCAGAGGAAACAAAGGAACAGCATGGGACCATAATGAAGTACCTTCAGAGTATGCGAGCACTATGCAATCCACATTGCGATTAACTTGGGGTTGACGCCAAAAGTGCCCCATTGCAAGACTGTACACATCCTAAACCCCCATGCTCTATACGAGGTTAAGAGGAGCAGCGTCCAAAATAGGCGCATGAAAGGTCAAAGCAGGCAGGTGCTTCTGTGCCCACCTCATCGGGTGGGCTGGTGGTGACTGCGGGGCCCCAGACTTCCTGTCTACACTGAACCTGCGGCCTCCGCCCCCTCCTCCCCCTGGCCTGCACATGTCCAGCAGGCGTTGCTCCCTGCTTCAGTAGTGCAGCATCTCCAGCCAGCACCGCCGCACTGCTCCACGTATGACGGCACAACAAGTCAGACCCGAGTGAGCGGTATGACGCCCCAGGCTGTGGACAAAACCCCCCGGGCGTTCTGCTCTGCTGTGCTGCGCAGAGAGTGGGGGCCGTCTGCTTGACCGCCAGCTGTCCCAACAAGCTGCTCCCTGAACACACTACGCCGCTCGTCATTGCCTCCACACTTCAAGGGTCTGCCAAGCCGACTGCACTGTGGCACCCAAGCGCAGGCCAACAACCTATAAAACCTTCTGCCGCATTAGATAACCCCTCCGTAAATGCATGCGGCCCCCGCCTTTTCGTAAGAAACTACGTCTGCAGGACTTCTTGCTCGTGATTGTGGTCGCAGAGAAAAGATTTGCAAGGCGGAATTTGTATAAACCTTGGCCACCTTTCCAGCTCTGTCCGGACTCCGCCCTTGCACAGTGGTTCTTCCCCTTGGGCTGCCGAGTCGTGCATCGTTTTCGGGGGTGCGTGGAGCGACGATGGCGCGCCATAGACGTCACACTTTTGCCCGTCTTGACGTCATACCTTTGCTGACTAGACAGGGGGCACGTTCCTCCCCGACTTTGTGGATATGGTAAAACCCCGCGGCCGACGCTGCAGCGGCCCGGCGCCTCGCCGCTGCTTGAATGATGCGCGGCACCTTCGGCCGCGCGCTCCCGGCCCCGGGCCATCTCATTCGCGTGGCTTTTATATAGTATACCCGGGTCTCATCTTTGGCCACGAGTTTCAGTTGATCGGATCATATAAGGCATCTGAGCTTGGTGAGCTCGGGGCCTAGTTCCGACGCCCATTGTCGGACAGCGCGCGGCCGCCCACTGCGTGCCCGCTCGGCGGCCACGGCATTGCCAGAGCGCGTGCAAAAGTCAGAAAGTTGCCTCAGCAGCTGAGCAGGCTACAGTCTGAGTATCGAGTGACCAACTTGAATGAATCTCCTGCAGTGGCGGCGCTACCGCCGCTTGAGTGGCAATCAGCGTTTGATAAAGCATTCGGGGGAGTACTGCAATATGTCCTGGAGCGCTGACAAAGAATCCGCAATAGGGCAGGCAGGGGCACTCTTCATACTCGTCGTACTAATACGAGAGGCTAATCAGTGACCGATTCTAGCACGTCGTATTATTGTATCACCCTCAGCTCTTTAGTCCACATATGCAGATAAGCAGATGCTCGTTTCGAGCCTGATTGACCCAACGCGGAGGATCCTCGACAAGCGGCGCCCGAAAAGCTGTTACGCACGAATGTGTGAAGATGATGTCAAAATAGCCGGTCAGCTGTTTAGTATCCATCGATTCTTGCCACGGGAGTCTTTGGCAAGTACTCTGATTATGCAAGCGTCGAGTGCATTCGTTTATGCGAAAGGGTCTGATGCCTTTGTACGTCCAAATCTACAATGACAAAGCTTCAATTTCTCTGGTCTCACTCTGCTGCCATTATGTTGCGTTGCCGTTCAAATATCTCCACCGTTTGACGCCCACGTCCTCCAACAAATTATGTGATCAATCTGTCTACGTGGTCAAAGCTCAGTGCTGTGTATTATGACGCTTTGAAAGGCTCACTGATTACGTCAGCTTGCCTCTGTCTTTGACTGGAGGTTGGAGAAGCTACTTGCTGGTTTTGTGGCCAACTGGGGACAATCTTGAAGCATCCCAAAGCTATGGGTGACTCACCTGTGTTTACGACTCGACTCACAGAGCTGGTTGCAATTACGTAGTGAATTGATCAGAATCGGTCATGGAGTGACTATGCCAGTTCTCCCAGCACTTTTGGAATGGTGGCGGGACTTCGAGGAACTAGAGACTTCGACGAGGCATTCTGCACGAAGACCCACTGCCAAAGAAGTCAATCGAGGGATGCCGGATGATCAGTCAATTGGCATGCATGTGCATGTCTGGAGAAAAAGGGAATCATATGTCGCTTCAGCAGTCCCTGAAATTTTGGGAATCCTCTTTTAATCATGACAGTCAGTGCGCACGCTCGTGGTGCCGCCAACAAAAGTTCGGAACCGTCGATCGATGAGGGCAGCCCCCAACTTCGACCCTCCGGGCCATCCGATGGAGGTCGCATTGATTGCTCTCTGCCAACCGCAAAGTCGGCCCCTAAACTTCGCTGGCGACTTTTGCACGAGATTTGAGTGAGGGCGTCGCCGCGTTTCCGAACTTTTGCTTTAACACATTCGCCCAGCGGTCGGTCAAAAGACCTGTTGTGTCAAGAGGCCCAAAACGTGCGTACTGACTGATGAGGCGCAGTGACATTACATATTACTGTAGTACTGAAACATATTCTCAGGGCCGCAGGATCTTATAAGAGAGCGTCAAGCCGGGTACTTTTGAAGACTACAGCAGCCTGTGTGAGGGCTAGGAACATGTAATCTTACAAGTCGCTGTTTGAAGTAGGAATAGACGACTGTGTCCGATTGCAACACGCAACTGGCAGGTAGCTGCCGCAAAAGGCTTAGTACGTATGTCGATTGATTCTGAGTTGATCGATGAGACGAAGTCAAGTCCAGCTACGTCAGTAAGGTCAACACATGTGCCTGCAAGACTGCGTCCTTCTGGTCAGCACAGCGCTCGTCTGCGAGCTTCGAAAGTGAGGCCCACGGGCGCGCTGCTGTCGCCGAGCGCGACCTTCCACCAGTGAAGGAGCAGCATTTCTCGCCGCAGTCGCAGCCCTTCCAGCAACAGGCTCCCTGCTGTGCGTGCCGCGATGGATGTGGCGACGGCGACCGTGGCGCCGGCGGCCCCGGTGACGGCGGAGCGGCCCGTGCCGGCGGACCTGGACCAGGCGCTCAAGAACCCAGGTACCGCCCACAGCCCAGCCAGAACGAGGCTGACTGACGAGGGCCAAGTGATGTCGAGGGGTTCAACAAAACGAGTCCCCTCCTGCAGAGTCGGCCGGGAGTCGGCTGCATGCGGCGGGTGGCCGCAAGCGTGCTGCTTTCCTGGAAGCTTGCAGGACCGTCGTTGCTTGCTGGCATCTGTTGAAGCGGCCACAAATTCGCGTGCGCCCATTTTGTGCGCACGTGTCAACATGTTGAATATCTTGGTGGGCAGTCTCTTCTTTTGTTCTGCTGCTGCAAAGAACCTTTTGTCCTTTGCGCACGAGGAGAAGACGAAGAGGAAAGCTCGTTTCAAGGAGCACAGCGCTGCTCCGTAGCTGACAGCCCAATAATCACGCTGCGCTTGCAATCGTAAGAAGATTTCATTTGACATGGGCATGACACAGGGGCGGTGCGACGTCATCTCTCAGGGTAGCTTTTGAGTCTGCATAAGAAAAGAGAACAGATAGAGAAATCCCAAGGAGTCAAGTCGAGCTTCAGAACCTGTCGCTTTGATATAGGTCTTTATTAATGACAGCAGTCTTCGCAGCAAGCGGTTGATTGTGGGCGAGATCTCGGACACGACCTTTCTGCTTTACTTTTAGTCGCTTTCGTTGATGAACCCTCTCTGTGGTTACTCCTCCCTTGCCAGGCCTGCCGCGCGCTCTAGTTGCCCCGAGCCGCGAGCGCCCTGACGGCAGCCGCGCCTTCCACGACCCCAAAAGCCTCAGCGTGCTGCAGCAGCACGTCGAGTTCTTCGACAGGTAACGCGCGCGCCCGCCTTCGGCAACACCCCACCATTTCCTCCCGTGCCGGCACCACGCACTTTTCGGCGCTGCCCGGCTCTTTCCTGCATACACGCTTCCAGAGTTTGGCAATTCCTCAAGTGTAGGCCCTCTTTCGGTGTGCACCCCCGTGTCAGGTGACAGGGCCGCAGCCTGAAGTTGGATGGCTGGCTGCGCAGGAGAAAGACGGGCATCATCATGCCGTGGGACACGTATGCAGGTGAGCCCCTGCCGAGAGCACTGGTAGCCCACAAGTGGGCGGTGCCGCACTTGACCAGATCCGAAGAGCCGCTCCGAACGGCATCTCGGAACCGTGAGTTTGAATGTTGAGGCTGACGAGAGCGCCAGATGAGATAGTTGGTCGCTTGCGCAAGCATCGAGCCCTTGATTCAGAGAATCATCCAAACGATCGCTTGTCCTTCTCACACTAAAACTCGACGATCCTGCACTCCAGATCAATCAGCGGTAAAATACTCGTTGAGCAACTTCGTTTCCGAGCTTTCAATGTGCTATGCCCACAGGCCTGAAAGATGCCCAGAGATGCCCCTTCCTCCCTGCTCACTTCGGCGCGTGATGTTCGGGTGCAGGCTTCCGCGCGGTGGGCTTCAGCATGGTGCTGTCGCTGGTGTTCTCCGCCCTCATCAACGGCTCCCTCAGCTACTTCTCGCAGGACGTGAGCCACCCGATCCTTTGCGCTATGAAGCGAGCGCCAGATCGGGCAGCCGCTATTCAAAGCAGTCTTACATTTCAGGCCAATTCTGAAAAGGAGTCTCGCACGTTGCATTGCACTTCAGAAGTTGTGGCAAGAGTGGTGCTGCTACTAGTAGTGGCTTTTTGTTGACGCCGCGGCATGGGCGGGTGCAGTCGTGGCTGCCGGACCCGCTGTTGAGCATCAAGGTGCGCAACATCCACGGCTGCAAGCACGGCAGCGACTCCGAGTCCTACGACACCGAGGGCAGGCAAGCCGCCGCCACGCTTCCAACTCCTTTACACGTCGCTCGCACTTTGGCTAGACAGGAGAGAGCAGGGGTGGGAGCCGAAGAGCGAAGATTAGGGCAGCCACGAGGTTGTTTGTTTTTAAGGGGCCTTTGAAGACCTTTTCTATCTTATTCTTCTTTTTTGATGGGTTGAATGAGATGGTTTTTGCGAAGTTTTACCCGACTTCTGCCTTGCATTTCCCAGCAAAGACAGCCCCTTAAGTTCAGCGCGGGCGTGGTGGGTGCAGGTTCGTTCCCGAGAAGTTCGAGGAGATCTTCAGCAAGCACGACCGCAGCGGCAAGGGCTCGCTCACCTTCATGGAGATGCTCGCGCTCACCGAGACCAACAAGAACGCCTTCGACGCCTTCGGCTGGTCAGTACCCACCCGCCAGCAAAAAAATGAGGGTGCTACCAGGAGCAATGAGTACTTAGGTCAATAAATGCAGGAGAGGAACAACGTTCTCAAGTTTGGAATGCGTCGACCGGTCGACGTTGGGGGCCCAGTTTTTTCCTATTGAGCATTCAGTTGTGAGCGACAAGCCTCGACTGGTCTGTTCAAAATATTACACGTTCGATACGTTTTGCCGAAGGCGCCTTCAGAGCGTGCGGATTGAATGTCGTGCAAAATCAGCTCCAGGCAGATATTGACCCCGTAGCAGACTGCAGAGTCACCGCTGGCCTCAGTTACGGTTGATATTTCCGCTGTTCCGCGCGTGCAGGATCGCGGAGAAGCTGGAGTGGGGCGTCACCTTCTGGCTGCTGGCGGACCACCGCGGCCGCGTGGCCAAGGAGCACATCCGCGAGTGCCTCGACGGTCAGCCGCACCGCGCCGCCACGCCCGACGCGGCTGGCCCTCTTCTTCAAGCCTGCTTCCCTGATAGCTGCGAAGTACCGGCCCTTTCGTGTCTGCCAATCTGTGTCAACCAATTGTCGTGACTCCAGTGCTTCCGGCCGGGGGTTGCCGTAAGATGGTCGCCTGACGTGTGCGTGCCGTGTCCGGTGCAGGCTCGGTTTTCTACCGCATCGAGAAGGAGCGCCAGGAGGAGGCCCACCGCAAGCAGGGGCGGGGGCATGCCCCCGCCAGCCACGGCCACACGGACGCGGAGTAGCGCGACGGCTGAAAGCCCCTCAACGGCAAATCAGGGCTTGTGACTGTAGAAAGGATCAGGAAAGCGAACCAGGACGTTCAGGATATGAGAAGTACACAGAGTGATTTCCAGTACTGTTTGTAAAGAGCGGCGAGGTTGGCACACGAAGCACGGCTTATAGATGCATGCTTAACAGAGGATTGGGTGGTTTTTGCTGTTCCGATATGTCCCAATAAGTTCTCTTGATTGATCTGCGAGCTATGCCAGGTCGCGTGAAGCGGAGACCTTCAAGGACAAGCTATGAGAACACTCGAGACCGTGACGTTACAGATCCACAAAGTTGGTGCGTCAACCTGTGGCGCACCTGTGCCTGGCATGGCGCACCGCAGACGAGCTTCATCTTTACTGCAAGATAGAACACAGCGCGGTCACCTCATGCCGGATCGATTTGCCGTGTGCCCCTCTGCATGTGAACCGGTCAGATAGAACCATCTAGTAGTAGCCTAGGTACGATAGATGTTTACGCTCGTCCCGGCCGGATCCGCCAGTCGCCGCTGCAGTGCGCTGTGCTTTGAAAGCATTTTGTGAAGGTGTTTTGCATCTCGTGCCGGGCGCGTCAGCATTATGCATACTGCACATGGGCCGAAGACCTAACTTGATAATGTGTGAAACCGCGCTGCAACATGTGCGCTTAGGCTTTGCACCCGGAATGACACGGGCAAAACGAAGCGCGCCCAGCCGCGCGTGTATGAGAAAGATTAGCTTTATCCTAATCTGCACATGTTGACCGTCATTACAACGTATACTGATCATGCGGGGGCATCCGTGGCACCTGTGGCCCATTAGCCTAGTGGTACATGCTTTGCTCAGAATCACGCATGTGCGTGCTTAATGAAGTTCAGCTCACTGTATAATGTACATGACACCAACAACCTGCGATCCATCTTACAAGTGCACACATTCATTACGTAACCACGCGAAGCCGAATCGATAGCAATTGCGCATCCATCTAATTTCTGTGGATACAACAAGCCGAAGATTTACAACAAGTCGAACAAGTCTCTTTCAGTGCAGTAGAGGCCACGCGAACCGCTCACTTTACCCTAATCGCCTATCGCTTCCTGCATATCTATGCTCAACCCGTTTCCTTAAATAATATAAGGTGTCG